TGTTTTTCGGGGCCCCATCTAGTAATTCAGTTAGTTCCAGTCTCTCAATTTATTTTCAATCTCTCCAGGAAACCACTTCTACAGTATCTCTGATAATTATATATCTCATATGATTACATATATTTTATCATGTTCATAATACTGAAGAGCCCTGACTCCAAAAAGATAAACAGCTGCTGTAATTTACAATTTACCTAAGGAAGAGCTTTATCAATCTCTGCATTGAGAAGCTAGAGAGCTGAGTAGTGATGTAAGGAAAGTGATGAATCAGGTTTTGTTCTGTGAACAAAAGATTCACAGTCCTCTCCCAAGGTCCCTTGCCAGTTGGGCATAATCTAGAATACAAAGAACTGAAGTAAATAAAATAAAAATAATTGGGCCAAACAGTGGCAGAAAAATAACAGTCACATTCAGAAAGTGCAGAATCATATGGTATGTTGGTATACCCCCCTAGTATTTATAGCATCTCACAGTGCCAAAATTAACTAAATAACCTCGAAGAAACTCCTGTGAGGAAGCTAGATAAATATTATGCTAACCTCCACTTAAGTGATGAGGAAGCTGAGACAGGCACTTGCTGCAATAGTGATCACTTGAAAAAGTGCTTCGTTTCCAACACGAGGCGTTTCCACATCTCCAGCTGAGCCGCTAGCTCACACACCACATTATCAAGCCCCAAGAATCCAGCTCTAGATGCTCTGCCCAGAATCACAGCATGAATTCAGGCGCTGGGTTTCTAGGCCACAGTGATGGCAGTGTCCGGGATACAGGCTATAGGTTATATTACACTTATTACATTTACCATTAGCAGGCTCACACAGGAATCTGCATTGGGCTGGAAGCACTTGTACAATAAAGGCATGAAAAGTTCGACATTCGCAGGCTTCTTTGCTTTCACTGCCTGCTTAGAACATGCTCTAAAAATGGATAAAAGAGACTCGGAAAAAAAAAGTAATACATGGAAGATATTGTAAAAAGAGAAAAGGAGCTGAGAAAGGAAAAGAAAAAGCATGAAATGTAGTAAAATTCATAGTATAATACACTAATTTGTAGCTGTATTTTAAGGATTCTTTTGTGCCCATTGGAAAATATGGGCTTCCTTCTAGATTTTTTCCTAGCACGAGTTCAATTCTGAAATGGGGTGGACAGACTGGTACATACTCAAATCAATTCTTTGAACACAAAAAGCAACTTGGAAAAAAAATTGCAAAACCTTGAAGTCTAGGATGTTGCCCAGACTTAAAAATCTGCATCCCATTAACTTCTGCACTGACTCTGTACCCATTGAAGTCAAAGAATGTAGCAAATACTCAACATCTCCCAGTCTTGCTAAGTGTCATTACGTTTACTTTCAAACTCTTTTTCTCTACGCAACTTGATTTTTTTTTTGTTAATACATCATTCTCAAAATAACCCTTTGAGATTTCCATACCATTTTCAACTTGAATAATCATTTTAAGGAATCCTTATTGACCCTTGTCAAAATAGAAGGAATTTTCCTAAGGGACTTTTGTTTTCTAATATGCAGTATGCACAGCAATTCAGGAGAATTGTTCCTATGCTAGAGGCTATGCAGCAGCATATTCCTCACATTGCCCAGAAATGCTTGCTGTGAACATGGGGTACTGGAATGGAGTCATTAGGCTTCTATTTTCCTTGTGGTCTGTAACATCCCAGAACCTTACCAGGATGACAGGGAGTAAGCATTAGCTTTAAAACTTTCCTGCTACTTTTACTTCCTTCTGGGTATTCAGGAGTTTATCGCAGTCTAAACCCCCAACTTACAAATGTCTCATTACAAAGAAAAGACAACACTGTTTGGGCTCTGAATTACAGTTAAGAGCTCTTAGCCAAATCACTTAACCACTCCGTGCTTACTAACATTAGGATTGAGCACCACCATGTGTTCTCATGGCCAGGAAAAGGGATGCATTTATCTGTGGCACACAAATCTTGTCAAGACCAGAGTATTTTCTGAACTAGCACAAAGAAGTCTTAGTCATGGTTCAGGTGTCAGGATACTGAAATATCAATATCATACATGAAACTAAATACCATCAAAAAAACTTCCTTCATAGTCCTCCTCAAAAAGAAAATAAACAAATAAAGCCAAGACCCCCACTGCTTCCTTTTGTCTCCAAAGGGAAGTTTTTTAAAAGCTAAGCTGACATTCATAGAAATGCCTTAGAAAGATGGCAAACACTCGAGAGGCCAGCACACAACACACTGCTTGTCTTGCCTGAAGTTTTAAACAGGCCTGGAGGGTGCACAGTTTTATGGCAAGGTGTGACTTGAGTTGTTACGTGCTGCCTTTGGGCACTTTCCAGCCCCAGCAGAAGCTGTGGATGCACCTGGCAAGGCCAGAGGAAGCCATTCGAGACAGAGCCGCGCTCGGCTCCACGCTGCCTGCGGTGCACGCGGGCAGGAACAGACACCGCTCCTCGGGAAGCCAGATCACTGTTGTGCTAAAGCCTGAACACAGAACACAGCTCACAACACAGATGTGGGCAGGAAACGTGTTAAATTCGCGCCGTTAGGAGAGGAGCACACTGCGGTAAACCACGTTCTAGGCAGCTTTTATTTGTACCACGCTATTTATATTGCTCGTGCTTGCCGAGATGTGACGTATGGTAGGAATAGCTCCTAAATGCACAGATGCCTTCCTGAAGACGGTATACAGCCCTGTTGCTCGCGCGCCCTCCGCTCTGCCTCGATACGGAACGATGCTGCAGCTCTGCGGCCAACACAGGACCCGCGGCCCCTACAAACTCACTCAGTTTCGGAGCTGAACGACGCGTTTCTCCTCCAGCTCTGCCCGCGTGGGAGGCGGGCGGCGTTGGAAACGTCTCTCCAAACACGCCTCTCTCTGCCCTGCAGAGGCCCAGAGCCCCCGGGACCAGCCGGCAGCTCCG